CGTGAGAGCAAAAATTGGAATATTTGAATTACAGGTGGACGTAGGCCCTCCTAAAATTTCAATGTTCAAACTTTTCTGTTTTCCGAGTTCACGCGTTCGTAGTTGTGGTTATGGCACACGCGAAAGCTGAATTCGTTGAAAGCTAAAAAAAACCGGGACAAAACCCGCACGTACCATACATACACACGCAAGCACACACTCATAGGGTCGTGACAAAAAATGCATTCTTTGCAACTGTTACACAGTACAAAACGCATAAAAAACCAAAAATAACAACAAAAGTGACAGTCCGCTCCAAAACCTATTTTGTATGTAAATACAACTATTACTGTACCTTTCTGGCGCTTGGTTCATTGCAGCATCTTCCACATTTTGTTTCGGACGGTTATTTGTATTCTCCTTATCCTCTCTACATTCCTCTGCCTTACCGTCTGCTGCAGATTCCATTTCAACGTTATCGAAACCATTTTGCGCCGGCTTTTTTTGCTGCTCTGCGAATGATCGTACACTCTTCGCTGCTACGCGCGTTTTTGGCAAACTGCCGGTGGATTTTTCTCGTGGAGGACATGGCGTTGACTTCATCACTTCCGTCGGTGTGATATCATTTTTTTCTGCAATCTTTCCCATTTCATCCAGTGAATCAATCTTACTGCGCAGACTCCATCCTGTCTGCACTGCTTCTTCATTTTGCGCCTCTTCAAACTGCAGCGAATTCATACTCGCTTCTTTATTCGCCATGGCTTCTCGAGCATCCACGCCTACAGTCACTGTGGTTACAGTCGTCTGCGGTGTCTTGGAGCGCGTTTTCCGAGCAACGCTACTCTTTGTTTCGCTGGGCCCTGATCCATCGTGCTTTTGTCGTTTGTTAGCAACATCTTGTTTTTCGGCACCACTGCGTCCTCGTTTGCCACGAAAACGCTCTTCTTTCTGAAATTAATCATCGTGAATTACAAACTTTTACCTTAGAATTCATGGAAGTAAATGAAGAAAAAAAGAAAAACAACAACACAGCAAACCTGATCAGACGGTCCAACCACAATCCCAGCAATATCCTGAGAGGACACAGCGCGAATCATCGGCTGCTTCTGCATACGATTGTAATATCCTCTGCAAAATCGGTCTTTTTTCTCCTGTTTTTCCAAATCAAGGTAAAATTACTCCATTCCCTTTGTTTTATGCACAAGGCAAATACCACAGAGCCAACCCACACTAGAAAGATGACAAATTAAACGATAATCTGATCATTATCCGCAATTCTTGTTGTGATGTGCACTGGCAATGCGAAATATAACTGAAGCGATAGCATTTTAGAATCCACAAAGCAATGCATCAGGCATGCCGGCGTGATCATGCGTTTTTGCGCTAAATTTGGAGCAGCCAGACCGTTAAAAGCATGAATGGTAGCAGCGTTACAATTTGATACATGGATTCATACTGGCTGTTTCTTCGCTTTTTTATGCGTTTTGTGCTGTGTAACAGCAGTACAAAACGCATATTGTTACGGGGTTGTCTG